TCCTGTGCTGAGATGCTCCCCGACCAAGGGAAGACTGATGACAAGGACCTTCTTCCAGAACTGACAGAGAAAGCGTTCCCCTGGCACCCTGAATTTGGACTTCTAGCCTACTGGACTGTGAGAGAATAAATTTCTCTTTGTTAATGCCATCCACTTGTGGTATTTCTGTTATATCAGCACTAGATGATCAAGACACTAAGTGACAAGCCCTGTTCTCTGCAGCCATCTAATCATTATTTGCTTTTGTTACTTTTATTACTTTGCTAATTTGATATACAATAATGCATGATAGTTGTTTTAATTTACATTTGGAAATTAAGTCAAGTACTAGTTTGCTATTTTTTCCCTTGTTATATGGGCATTCTGTAATATCTTTGAGACTGGTTGTTGCTAATGATTCTTGATTAGTTTTGTTTTTGTTTTTGTTGCTTGTTTTACTTTTTCTCATTTGGGATTGCTTTTGGCTGCAAGTAAGAGAAAACCTGACTACAATAAGAAGGGGCTAATTTTGCTTATAAAACAAGATGCCAGAAGGTAGACAGTCTAGCAATTCAATAATTCCATCAGACATCCAGAGTTTTTCTACCTATCTGATCACCATCTGAGCATGTAGCTTTCTTCCTCAGGTTTGCCTGATGGCTGCTGAACCTCTGGGCATCACTTCTGTGTTCCAGCCAGAAGAAGGACAAAGAGGAAAAGGCATGGGCTAGCTGAGTCTATTCCTTTCATCAGGGAAACAATAGCTTTCCTTGAAGCTAAGCCAGTAGAAGTCTGCTTATATCTCATTGACCAGAACCAGGCCAAATGGCTGTGCCAACTTGCAAGGGAGTCTGGGAAGGTGACTATTTCTTTTTCATTTACTTGTCATTCATTTAATCACATCTAAACATTTAGCACAACCATACCCAAGGCATCCTATATAAGCCACATTCTAGCTTCTCTTAAAATTTTTTTATGTTTAAAAAATTTTTTAGATTTACATACAATAAAATGTACTCTTTTTATTGTGCAGTTCTATCTGCTTTGATAAAAGCACAGAAAAAGGTGAATTTTTTTAACTTAGAATACTGCTGCTCCCCCACAATTGCTTGATGTTCCCGTAATGGAAAAAGACAATTACTCAACACAACAGAGTTTGAGAAATGAGAGAATCCTTATTCAATTCACCTAATCAGTCTTTCTGAGATGAGATGAGATGGAATACAGTTAGAGTAAGAAGAGTCCCCTTAGGTCAAGGGGGCAGTTTGCGTCTCAAGAATATATGGCCCTAGTAATCACTAGGTCTCTGCCATGTTCAGGAACTAGAGCTTCTGGGCAGTTCCTCCCGGACAAAGATGATGCTTGGATTCCAGGAACAACGATGGGGGTCATTTGATGAAACACTGGGCTTTATTATCTTGATTAGGGCAAAGCCTAAGATGGATGGCTAGATGGGCCAGCAAAAAGCTGTTACATGTACATTTTCATTAATCATCCCCAAATCTTGCATGTCTGAGTGGTGAATGATACGACAATGAATGATAATCAATGGGTAATTCAAATTATTTAATTTCAGTATCAAATTTACCATCTTAATGAAAGGTCTGGCATGCCCACAGTGTTCATACAGGATAATATTATTATATTTATTGAGTACTATACTAGATGCTTAACATACATTATCTCATTTAATCTTCACGAGAATCTTGTGACCAGAGTGTATTGGATACGGATGGGGAGTAGGTGATTTGACACTACTTTGTCAATTTTATGAAGAATGTGTTGAGATAAGACTCACGTTTACAGATTGCTCAGTTTTCATCTGTACTCATTAACACAAAAGAACAAAGGTAAAGTAAGTCAAAAGCATGGTCAACATGTTGCATATTTTAAAATAAGCATAGTAGGCTAATTTTTAGGTGTGTTCTTTCAAACCATTTTATTGTATATGGATCTAACTTAAAATTGATATACTCTGGTAAGGTATCTCCTTAGTGCCTCTTTCATGCTTTGGTGTATACTGTTTTCATATTGACTTAATTCATGTTTACATTATGTATTTTCAGTTAACATTATTTCACATATACTTTTCCATAACTCCATTATTAAAAGAAGCCCTGTAAGTTGGATATTTCTTATCCTCTTAGGGGTTCAGTTTCTTCATTTGTAAAATGAGGCAGTTTGGCTATTAATGATTTCCAATTTTTTATCAAGTTCTAATATTCTATGATACAATATCTGTCATCTACAGGCACACAGAAGTCTTCTTTGGAAAACAGGTTTATTCCAAAACATGGATGCTGCTTAATGGGCCATAACTTTCCTGTTGCTCATGAGTCAGCACAAAAAATACCTCCAGACAAGGCTAAGTAGGTCAGATTTATCTAAGAAGACAGCTGTGTAATTCTGTATCCCTCTCCAACTCCATGGCACTGCAGATACATGCTTCTGGCTTTTCCAACAGCAGTCAAATAGCATTAACGATTTTGTGAAGTCCACAAGACCACAGTTTGAAACATCAAGTTGGCGTTAAAAGGCTTCAGTAGAACAAAATAGAGCTGCATGTATATATGATCCACAATCATGTTCCTCTATTTTTTATGGCATTTCCATTGATGCTGTGATACTGGTTAGTGTGGGAAGGGCATTATTAGTAAAAAACAAAAACCTTTTGCATCGTGACTTTTTATTAAACCTGTCTAATAAAACCTATTGGCTTGCTTTCCTTTCTAATAGTCATACATATTGTAATAAATATACCACTGAGATGAACTTTCATTTAAAAACAAACTTTGAAGGTGTGGTTACTGCCTAAGTGGGTTGTGCATGTACTTTTTCCATTAGAAGCCCCTTTAACACAGTGGGGGACTTTTAAAGCTCAATGGGCAAAAACAACCTTGGAGAGGTGAAATTAAGAGAAAGAAAGGAAACACTGGGATTGGGCTGGAGATCCTTGCTAAGAAAAGGAACATGTTGGCAGGGAATACAGAAAAATAGAAAAAGAAAAAAAAAAAGGTAAAAAACAGAGAGAATACTGGAAGTGGTCAAGTTGCAAAGTGACTTTTCCCTCACATCAACGACTTATATTTATGTTAACCTTTTTAAGTTCTGGCCAATTAGGGTATTTAAGCTTGTTTAGTTATTTCCAGACACAGCATGAGACTGCATTCACAGTCCTGTATTAGCATCATATCCTTAGGAACAGAGGATCCACAATTCATTTAGTTCTTCTCCGGCATCCGTCCTGCTATGCGACCACTGCCTTCCCATTGTCTAGACTGTAAGGCACCAGAGCAATTAAACAGAGGATCAATATAAGCAGACAGGTGTGTCCTGGTCACTTCCCCTCTTTATACTAGATTGCTCATATTCTCTGAATCTCATACAAGCTGCTCTGGAAGCAGTAAACTAACGAAAATTTAACTAAGATTACTAATACTTCCAGGTTGTACAAATCAATTGCTAATAGACGCTTGTTTATGGCATTGTTGGCAAAGGTGTGATATTAAAAGAGCTAGAAAAGACATATCCAAGTATTATTTACTTGTTCTTGTTAGAAACAAGCAACTGACCATGTCCTCGACCCCAACCAAGTTTCAGAAAAGGCTGGCTAATTTTTGCAATATGATTCCGAAAGGGCGTATCTGCAGAGTCTTTGAAGCTGCAGATCCCCTAGGATGAGGCTTCCCCACCTGTCAGAACCTGGACCGTCTCCACGGAGTGTGCCGAGCGCACCGCCGCCACGCGGCGCTTAGGTCAGCCTCCCGGGTCTTGGGAGAGCTCTTTTTATTCTAAATTACAGACTGCAGCCACCGGATATCCTCGCTGCATAAATGGCAGTAGCCATGTGGTTGCACTCGCGTTTCCTGACAAGCACTGCATTATTTTCATTAATATCCTGTCTGTGGTCCCTCGCTGAGGGACTCCACACTCCTGCCACCGCCCCCCCACTCCGCGGGTAATAACTCGATAGTGGCCCGTGTGCCCGAACAAAGCCGAAACCACTGTAAAGTTTATTAAAACGCACTTGGCGACAGGGGCCTGATACTGCCTCTCGACAACTGTAAGCCACCCTGGCCCAGCCGCAGAAAGCGCCTCCACACCGCAGGCTCGAACGAAGCCGACTTACGAAGCTAGGCGGCCGGCGACAGTACGCTCCGCGCGGCGCTTGGGGCGGGGCACACGCGGCCGACGCGTTCGCATTGTCGACGTTCCCCACACCCCACCGCGTTCCATCCCTCCCTATCTGTGGCGCACACGCGCGCAGAGAGAGCTGCGCGCCC